TTATCAATAATTATCACTATCTTTATTATTATCATCATTATTATCAGTGTTACTGATGTTATCATCGTTACTATCAAAAACAATTGAAACTATCCCCGATTAGATAGAGACAATTAAAAAATTGCTCGTAATCTAATATGTAATCAAATTGAGGTACTAAAACGTGAAATTTTCAAAAAAATTGCACAAAAAGCTTTCGAAATGGTTGCTGAACATCTTCCCCAACAACCCATTAATGGATACCATTGTAATGGTAATTCGACGAATGGAGTAACAACAAATCAGGTTATTTCTTCAAAAATTATTGGCTATAACTTATTTTTCTTATTGGATTATTAAATTCAAATCAAAGAATAATCAAGATTACACATTCAATTATGGAAATTCTTTCCACTGAAAAAGTCCTCGTAAATCAATGAACATACTCATCCATGAACTTTCATATCTTATGTCTCGATAAGTCACCTAAATAGAGCACCTGATATTTTGAATTCCTTACGAAGTACACGAAGTAAAATCTCTACTGATTAATACGGTTCACAATGGAGACGAAAACGCTTACTCTAGAACTGTTACTCCCCATGACGACCGGAATCATCAATCCCTGAGCTAAACCTAATTTTCACAATTTAGCATCAAAAGCACATGAAAACTTTATTGACCATAATTGACCACACCCACACTACTTACTTCCACATTTGTTTTCCTCAGATATTACAGATGGCTTCTAAACTCCGAAAATGTTCACATCGATGACACTGGTAAGTACCTATATGCCTATTTTGTGTACCTATACTTAAACAATAAATAATAGATTGTTTCAGTTGCAAGTAAATTCGCCGTTCGTACAAAACGACGGCACCTACGTGACCAGCGAATACAACTACCGTCGTAATCAAATCGACTATACGCCGAACGGTACCATTCAAGTGACACCAAAACAACACAAATACACATTCCGTACCCTATTGAAACCAAACAAAACCGGTGTTTTACTGGTTGGCTTCGGCGGTAATAATGGTTCAACTTTACTGGGCAGTATTCTCGCCAACAAACACCATCTGACATGGAGAACGAAGTCATTCTTGACTATTTCAGCACTCAATTTCTTTTGAACGATAAAATTTGACTTCAACAATCATTTCAGAGGAAATCAATGAAATCGATAAACATTTCTAGAGAATAAAGTTGAATCTGATTATCCCACTCATCATGAACACTACTATCCTTTATAATACTATCATCCCCCTTATCTCTCATAACATCCTTATCATTCCAACCAAATGGAGTCTAAAATCTTTTTGCGCAAATAAACTAAACCGATATTGTCAAGAAATGGAATTCTTAACAACCTTCAATACATTACAAACAATGTAAAAATAATATTGAAGTTAACATTACTGCAATTGAACAAAATATTGCATCATTATTATTGTTGTTAAGAATTTCTTTTCTTGATATCATTTCTTGAAACTAGTAATAGACAATCTGAAGACAAGTTCACCATTCAGCAACAAATGTGAACCTTCAATCAGTATTATTATTACTAAGATCATTACAACACTTGCTTTAAAAATCAACAACAAATCAAGTTTCAGACAAGGCGAACAGAAAGCCAACTATTATGGGTCACTAACACAAGCGACTACTGTGCATATCGGATGGGATGGTCAGAAGCAAGTTTACGTACCGTTCAACAAACTTCTGCCAATGGTTGATCCCAACGAACTGGTCATCGATGGATGGGATATCAACGGCGCTAATCTTTTTGAGGCTATTCAACGAGCCAAGGTAATCTCTTTTAAATGTGTCATACAACAATTAATACTCTTTTAAAATTCAAAATACCATCGATAAATTCGCATCACTCTCAAAATCAGTCAAATAGATTCATTTTGATCACTTCTCAAATTTTATCTAGCATTACCGAATTCTATCCAACAATACAACCTAGCCAACTATATCTGAAGCGTTCACAAATCTCCAAAGTATNAATAGATTCATTTTGATCACTTCTCAAATTTTATCTAGCATTACCGAATTCTATCCAACAATACAAATTAGCCAACTATATCTGAAGCGTTCACAAATCGTCAAAGTATACGGACTATGAAAATTTTTTAAAATTGCAATATTTTATGCAATCCGAATGTGTACAACAAATAACATTTTAAAGACTGTTTCCAGTAGTCCGGACAAAACATGTTTGTTTTCAAATGAATTTCTAATGAAATAAAATTCACATCTCCGGAAAACTGATAACATATTCGTTCAATATATCGATATATTGGGCACGATACACTTTAGAGTAACCTTTTATATTCTCATACAACAAACTAAACACGAATCAATAATATAAATCTATTTCACGACGTTCCTTGCCACCGTTCACCAAGCGTGCACACCTAATATTGAAAGAAAGTGAACACAGAGTACCATACGAGAGATGAAAGAAGAGAATATGAGACCAAAATGCACTGACTGTCATACTGCTCCTAATAGATCGTCTATCAAAAAATTGCCTTTCAGTGTTAATGCGGTCAATTATTAATTTAGTAATTCAATTAGTAATTTCAAATGCGTTAAAGAATATGCTAGGAAAATGAGTGCGGTCAATTTGAAGATAAAAGACAGAATATTACTGATGAGTTCTCAACAATTTTCAATTTCCATACGATATTATCCCACGAGGTCTAAATCAATCTTCAAAACCCAATTAAAGGTGTTCGAACCA